GTAATCGGGAAAAGCGGAGAAGATATTCTTACGAATAAAGGAACACTCTTTAGAGTTTCTTATCAGTTCGCTGTTTCTACATTCCTCCTGCTTTCACTGTTGAACCTTTAAACATCAATCTTTTCAGAATTACCGCAACAGCATGATATAGATAATAATAATATTAATAATGACTGAAAGTACTCAGAGCTCATACAGAGCAGGACCTACAGTAGGAGACATGCGATCTGAGTAAAGTTGGAAAATAAATGCATCATTAGTGCAAACACTTTTGAGCTGGATCAGGATTGAGTTAAAGGAAGGTTCTGGGACATCCCGTGGCGAAGTCTGAGGGTGGAGTGCACTGTGGAGTCTGGGCAGGATGCAGAGAGAGGCAGATGTTCCTCAGCAGGGTCCATATGCTATGCAAGAGTCATTAGAGAACACCGCGGTCGTAGTCCAGCTGATCCGCCAGCTGTGGCTTACATAAGCCTGCTGCTCGTGTTACCGCTCAGCGCTACTCTGTCCTCATCTCATCTCATCTCATCTCATCTCATCTTCAACCGCTTATTCCTTCTTCAGGGTCGCGGGGAACCTGGAGCCTAACCCAGGACTCATTGGGCACAAGGCGGGGTACACCCTGGACAGGATGCCAGTTCATCGCAGGGCACAATCACACACACATACACACCCATTCATACACTATGGACACTTTAGACACGCCAATCAACCCACCATGCATGTCTTTGGACTGGGGGAGGAAACCGCCGCAGCACGGGGAGAACCTCTGTCCTCATACTTTAGTTTATCTTGTGCTAAAAGGAATACAAGTATATAAGTATATAAATTACCTTCCATCGCAGTTAGATATTGATTTCTCACAGACCGAGAGCTATTAAGTGTTCCTCTGCCAAGTTGTGAACTGTAGCAACCAACAGCAACAGAATTACGCTAATGGGTATTATTATGAAGTCCAAATCCTGGACATGAAGACTAAATGAGACGACGTTAAACCCTGAGTGAGTCGAGTGCTGCATCGATGTCATCTAAAGAGCGACCTCCCGCTCTTCACCACACAACGTTCAGTGTTTGAGGTCAGAAAGAAAAACGGACACTGGCTTGTTTGGCTTCTGTGTGCATATAAAAAGCTCTCGAATGCGCTCGATGCTCAGTAACAGTTGCTCGGTTGCTGCTTCATATGTTCTAAAAACAGATGTAAATTACAGGCTCTGGCAGCTCTGCGCTGAAAATGCTCCGGAGTGGAGCACATGAAAAATGTCAGACACGTCTGAAAACCTGCGCTCTAGAATTGAAAGAGCTTTACTCGGACTTTAGTTGGTTACTGAAGATAAATGAACGAATAACTGATGTCACTGACGACACGTACATTCTTTTGGTGAAACAGAGTGCTGACTAACGCTGACGTCTGACTGTATGATGTTCAGAACATTTACATGTCTTACCACATACACACAGTGAAACCTCAAAGGATTGTGGTCCTCGGTTGAAGTGTAATTAACGGCACACTCGGTGCTCAGACCCACTTCGCCTTGTGTGCAGAAACCCAGACAAAGGCGTCCAGTTCCTGATCTCGCGAGGGTTCATCCCTGACACGGCCATAGGCGTGGCTCACTTCCTGCTGCAGAGGAAGGGCTTAAGCCGGCAGATGATTGGAGAGTTCCTGGGAAACAGCAAGAGACAGTTCAACAGAGATGTTCTTGAGTGAGCGGGCTGTTTATTTCTGAACTTTTTTGCTTTGTTTAGTTTCTTTATGAAAAAAGATCAATGTTTTATTTCAAATTTCAGTAGAATTATTGTAAGACGGAGTCATCAAAAGATCTTTATGGTTTCTTTAAGTATGGTTAATGTTCTTCTCCAGAACTGTAGCAGAAATTCAGCCATTAGCAGGCTGTAAGAGTAAATGATTATATATATATATATATATATATATATATATATATATATATATATATATATATATATAATTGTAAGTTATTACAAGTAACTTTACAGAAACTGAACTTAAACACAACTTTTTTTTTCGTTTGTTCTCATTCTCATCTTTCTTTCTGTTACTTTCGCATTCTCTCTCTCTCATCTTATCTTTTACAATTCTTTCTTTTTTGTCTTCGCATCACACTTTTTCTCATCTTTCAATCAATTTTCTTTTTCTCTTCATTCTTTCTTTCTTTCTTTCTTTCTTTCTTTCTTTCTTTCTTTCTTTCACATTTTTCTCCTTGCTTCTCTTTTTTCCAAATTTCTTTTTCTGACCTTTGTCCATCCTTCCATCCATTTATTTTCTCTTTCTTTCTCTTTTTCTTTCTTTCTTCTCTTCGCTTCACACTTTTTTCCATCTTTCAGTCAGTTTTCTTTTTCTCTTTCTTTCTTTGTTTTTCTTTCTTTCTTTCTTTCTTTTTTTCTTTCTCATTTTTCTCCTTGCATCTCCTTTTTCCATATTTCTGTTTCTCACCTTTGTCCATCCCTCTGTCCATATATTTCCTTTCTTTCTTTCTTTCTTTCTTTCTTTCTTTTCTTTCTTTCTTTCTTTCTTTCTTTCTTTCTTTCTTTCTTTCTTCTTTCTTTCTTTCTTTTTTTATTATATTTGCTTCACACTTTTTTTCCCATATTTCTGCCCATTTTCATTTTCTCTTCATTCTTTTTTCTCTTTGCTTCTATATTTTTCTCTCTTTCAGGCAATTTTTTCCGGTTCATTAATTTTCTTTATTTCTTTGTTTCTCTCTTTCTTTTTCATTGCTTCTCTCTTTTTCCATCTTTCAATCAATTATCTTTTTTCCTCTTCATTCTTTTTCTTTATTTCATTGTTTCTCTTTCTTTCTTCGTTCTCCTTTTTCTCTTTGCTTTTCTCTTTTTCAAATATTTTTCTTACCTTTGTAAATCCCTCCGTCCATTTATTTTCCCTTTCTTTCGTTCTTCCTTTCTTTCTTTCTTTCTTTCTTTCTTTCTTTCTTTCTTTCTTTCTTTCTTTCTTTCTTTCTTTCTTTCTTTCTTTCTTTCTTTCTTTCTTTCTTTCTTTCTTTCTTTCGTTCTGTCACTTTATTCTTTGCTTCTCTCTTTCTCCATCTTTCAGTCAGTTATCTTTTTCTCTTCATTCTTTCTCTTTATTGCTTCTCTCATCCCTTCTCTTTCACGCTTCTTTATTTCTCTTTCTTCTGCTGCCTCCTGTTTTTTCTTTCTTTCCGTCATTCTTTCATCGCGTTCATTTCTCTAATTCCTCATTTCATTTTCCTTCAATGAACAGCTTCCTTCACTATTTCCTTCTTCACGACAGCTTTAATAAATAAAAGCTTGATGAAGGTCAGGTGAGCAGAGTCACTCGGAGGAACTTCTGAACCTGATTCCAGACGTCAGATGGCACCGGAGGTTTTTAGACTTTAAGTCCGGTTGTAAAGCTCTGTATCACTGTACTATGAATCACTGACTTTTCCCCACAGGCTTTACTTACGATGAAAACCGTACAAACACACAGCTTTCATGTTGCATTGTCTGTCTCCCAGCTGTGTAGTGGATGAGATGGACTTCTCCTTGCTGGAGCTGGACGAGGCGCTCCGGAAGTTCCAGGCTCATGTGCGTGTACAGGGAGAGGCTCAGAAGGTGGAGAGGCTCATCGAAGCGTTCAGGTGAGAAACGCACAAGAAGTTGATTATTTTCCTATAACAGCACATCCTGGCATGATATATCACAGCGAAATGCCAACGATTAGCTACAATTTTCATTTAGTAAAGAACAACACGTGATATGTTTTATCCATTTATAGCTACATTTAATGCTGTGGAACGTCCTTAGCACTAGTTAGTTCCTGTTCCGTCACTTACGTTATAAAAGACATAAACAGTCCTCTACTGTAAGTGAGGAAAGAAAATGCCCACACATAAAATGTTGTGACTTCTCAAGCATGACATTACTTAGCCGTGTGTGTGTGTGTGTGTGTGTGTGTGTGCATATGTTGAAGAATTAAAATCCTCTGAGGGTTATTCTGAACCAAAGAGCCTTAATGGAAAAAAAATTATGAACCGCCAAGCCTGAGGCATGAGGCAGACTAAGTGCACCGACGCTATCCTTCACGCTTGTCCTTTTTTCTGCGCTCTCATCTGTCCTTTTTTTTTTACCTACTGTCATGCACTCATTTTCCTTTCATCTCTCTCTGTCTCTCTCTCTCTCAGTCAGCGGTACTGTATGTGTAACCCTGATGTGGTTCAGCAGTTCCACAACCCCGACACCATCTTCATCCTGGCCTTCGCCATCGTCCTGCTCAACACCGACATGTACAGCCCTAATATCAAACCCGAGCGCAAGATGCTCCTCGAGGACTTTATACGCAACCTCCGAGGTGATTTTACTTTGATTCTCATCACCGTTAAAAGGACTGTAATGTTTTAAAAGTGTCCCTAGACACTCGATTTTCCAGATTCCTTCGGAAGAAGTTTTTCACAATATTGCAGTGTATAAATCTTATCATTGTCATCATATCATGCTTCTGTTGTTTGCATGAATCTCTGGCCTTGAAATTAGCCCCACCTCTTGTCAAAACTGAGCTGATTAACCCCACCCCTTTCCTTAAAATCCAACTGATGAGTCGAACATACTGTAGATTTAAAATGCAAGAAGGGATTAGTTACGGAAGTGTTTTCCATCGCAATTCACTTTACAAGCATACATATAAAAATGTATAATGGATTCATATTGTACAATTTTTTATTCCTTCATAAGATTTGTTCATATAAGAACCAATGGTACAAACAAAGTGGGTGGGGCTAGCAGCTCTGTTAACTGGTCACTGATTGGTTACATGACATGTGACGTGCTCTTTAACCATACAACCTATAAAAATGAGTCTTTATAAATCACATATATATTAGAGGACAGAAAAATATAAATTCTTTTTTCTTCACATATCTCAGCATGTTGGGAATTTGGGGTCAGAGCACAGGGTCCTCCATGATACAGCGCCCCCTGGAGAAGAAAGAGTTAAGGGTTGCTCAAGGGCCCAACTGTGGTAGTTTAGCAGTGCTGGGGCTTGAACCCCCGACCCTCTGATCTGTAACCAAGAGCCTTGACCGTTAAGCCAGCACTGCCACCAATGCATGTCGGTTGTTGTGATCCGGAGCTATCGATCACTTCACGAGTGCAGATGATTCCCAGTAACGGCGCAGGCTTTCTATGAAAGAATGTGATCATGTGACTGGTGTGCTGTCTCTCCATGGGTCTCTATGAGCTCTATGTGTTGAGTAGATTGGGAACTCTGGTGTTCAAACAGTGAAACTGCATGAATAATTCACAGAATGCTGATTTACATGATGTGCATGATGTCATGGTTACACCCCTAGTCTAAATGTGTTTATATTTATATGCATACAACATGCAACGTTCTCTCTCTCTCTCTCTCTCTCTCTCTCTCTCTCTCTCTCTCTCTCTCTCTCTCTCTCTCTCTCACAGAATTGCAAACTAATCCCTACTTTACTCTGGTTCTCTCAGGGGTTGACGACGGGGCTGATATTCCACGGGAGATGGTGGCTGGCATTTATGAGCGCATCCAACAGCGCGAGCTCCGCTCCAACGAGGACCATGTGACCTACGTCACCAGGGTGGAGCAGAACATTCAGGGAATGAAGACTGTGAGTCTACCGTCCAATCAGGAACAGAAAACAGACCCGTGTTTCCCATTATAGCATTCGTTGAGGTCGTTATTCAGGATTGCACCTCGAAACTGAACTGAATGTATGAATGGTGCGAGTTTTTCATCAAACCCTCAGCGTTTAAACGCACACACACTCTGAAGTGTAGTTTCGTCTGTCTTTACTTCTCTCTCTCTCAGATCCTGTCTGTGCCACATCGGAGGCTGGTGTGCTGCAGTCGTCTCTACGAAGTCAGCGACGTGAACAAGCCACAAAAACAAGCGTCCCATCAGAGAGAGGTGTTCCTCTTTAATGACCTCATCGTGGTGGGTAACTCTGCCGTACACACACAAACACCTAACCCTAACCTTAACCCCAGTAACCGTTCACCTCACACCCCCGGGGTCAGGGGTTCGATTCCCGCAGCGGCCCTGTGCATGTGTGCTGAGTTTGCATGTTCTCCCTGTGCTGCGGGGGTTTACTCCGGGTACTCCGGTTTCCTCCCCCAGTCCAAAGACCTGCATGGTAGGCTGATTGGCGTGTCTAAAGTGTCCGTAGTGTATGAATGTGTGTGTGAGTGTGTATGTGATTGTCCCCTGCGATGGACTGGCACCCTGTCCAGGGTGTACCCCGCCTTGTGCCCGATGCTCCCTGGGATAGACTCCAGGTTCCCCGTGACCCTGAAAAAGATAAGCGGTTTAGACGATGGATAAATATATAATCGTGAAGACTAGCTCGATTGTCCCCACAAGGTCAAACTTGTTAGATATTCCAAGCCAAATGAGGACATTTGTTCCCCACTAAGATATTAAAAACACGCTCACATAATACACTGCCTGTCAAAAGAACAGCCTGTATGAACATTTTTGGTTAAATGTCGAGAGAAGGGTGCGAGTTAAATCCTCTAGAATTAGAAAATCTAACCAATAGGTATACATATACTCAGAAATGTTTGTGACATTTGAAAAACACATCTAGGCCAATATAGATCACTCGAATAGACTCCTGTAGCACACGATACAGTATATACAGCATTATGTGTGTTACAGTTGACTTTCACTGTCTAATATCAACTCTAAGACGAATCTCATCTTAGAGCTTGTATTAGTCCAGACCAGCGCCATTTGCGCTCTGAGCCGCATGTACACACCGAGCCATAAACACACAGTTGCGTGGATTAAGAGTGTGTTCTGTGTTGCTAGATACTGAAGCTGTGTCCCAAGAAGAAGAGTGCAGCGACATATGTCTTCTGTAAAGCCATGGGTCTGCTGGGGATGCAGTTCCACCTGTTTGAAAATGAGTGTAAGCGTGTGTTAATAAATATATAATTATACGCAAACCTGATATACAAGCGTACACGGGTTTGCAGCGTTATATTTAGCATAAACTGACATTCACTTATATTCCAATATATATATATGTATATATATATGTATATATATATATATATATATTAACATATACTGACATAGGAGAGTAGATATATAAAAAAAAGACATAGTTGCCTATTGGTTAATTACAGTGGCTTGAACATTTGCACATCTTCAACCAAGGGGAATGATAATGAGTCTTTATTTGTCACATGTATGTTACAGCACAGTGAAATTCTTTTTCTTTGCATACCCCAGCATGTTAGGAGGTTGGGGTCAGAGCGTGATACAGCACTCCTGGAGCAGAGAGGTGTAAGGGCTGTGCTCAAGGGCCCAACAGGGGCGGCTTGGCAGTGCCGGGGCTTAAACCCCTGACCTTCCGATCAGTAACCCAGAGCCTTATCCGTCAAGCCACCACTGCCCCACCACTGTGCACTGTAATGTTCAATGTGATGCTAGCGTCCACCACCATGGTTCATTGTGGTGATGGTCTTCTCAATATTGACCTTATAGAACCTTTTTCCATGTCTCCAACAATGTCTCGCCTCTCTTCAGTTCTCTTATCTGAGCTGTGGGTCTCACTAGCGCCTCCGTAGTTACCCTTTTCACAGTTTGAAAACTTAACCCAAAAACCCGATTGATACATATCCATCATTTTTGGACAGTTCCTTGGTCTTCATGATGCTGCTGGGTTAGGTATGTTCTCTAGGACTTTCTGGGTTAGGTATGTTCTCTAGGACATTCTGGGTTAGGTATGTTCTCTAGGACTTTCTGGGTTAGGTATGTTCTCTAGGACTTTCTGGGTTAGGTATGTTCTCTAGGACTTTCTGGGTTAGGTATGTTCTCTAGGACTTTCTGGGTTAGGTATGTTCTCAAGGACTTTCCAGGAACAGGTGTGCGACTTTAATGGCACAAACAATCGAATAATTATGCGACTTCTGACGACAACGGACAGCAATGGCAAAAATAAGCTAATGTGTAAAGATACAGCATGAGACTTGTAATCTCAGTAAAGTTGATTTAAGTTATAGGTTGTAGCACTATAAAATGTGGACACGTTCAAGAGAGCGAATACTTATGCCCGCCACTGTATTCATGTTAGGGTCTGTGTTCTTTCACAGATTACCCTCATGGTATTACCATCTTGTCTCCGTTCTCGTCGGAGAAGAAGCAGGTGTTGAGTTTCTGCTCGCAGAATTCTGAAGAGCTGCTGAAGTTTGTGGAGGATCTGCGCGAGAGCATCGCCGAGGTGGCTGAAATGGAACAGATCCGTATCGAATGTAATGTCAGTTACATGAAGTGGTTTTTTACAGCGTGCGCTCGCAGGAGAGTTTCTGTCATGAATAACGTGTGTGTGTGTGTGTGTGTGCGTGTGTGTGTGTGTGTGTGTGCGCGTTGTATTCCAGGGGAATTAGAGAGGCAGCAGGCGGTAAGAACAACTGCTCAGAACAATGGAAGCCAACTAGAGATGCATTCAAGACCAATATCTCCTACAGGTACACACACACACACACACACACACTCATGAAGAAGCTGCATACTGACTATACTGAAAAACAGATGTTCTTACAGTTACATTTGTGATTTCCAGGAGACCACGATTTTTACGACAAGACCGGAAGCAATGCAGTCGAGGTTTGTAGCGATTGATTGCGCAACGTGTTTGTCTGCGTCTTTGCTATTAGCGTGTAAATCTATTGACATCATGAAGTTTATTTAGCTCCTGTTGTCCCACTTCTCCCCAGCTCCCCAACCCTTTGCCTTTTGACCTCAAAACCCACTGTGTCCTTCACTGTATTTTATAATTATAGAGACACCAGGCCCTCGGTGTTCTGTCTCCAGTCAAACACCTGCATCCCAACCAGGTACCAGTGCAAGCACTTCCAGCCTATAGTCCACTCCCAATACCCCATGCTTACACCCCTTACCCCTAACCCCTCCTGCAGGATTGGATATATAAATTAGCTTGGATGTGCTTCCTGTTAATGCTTTCTCATATAGAATTTAACCCTCATGTTCTGTACCTAGAGATGGACATGCCAATATCCCAGGCGTTTTGATTTGAAAGCTCTAACATATAGATATAACGTATAGTCATTTGCAAATTGCTGTGTTGTATGAGGACTTTGGCGGGTGATAACAGTATCTCTGTTTCATCAATGATTTACACCAGTTCTTTTCCTTTAAAAGCACACCATGTCATGTTGTAATCCTTATTTCTCGCATTCTTGTCTTCTCCTGTAGATTTAGTGCTGGGGCTAGTATTTCAGCGAGCACATTTGATTAACAAGTAGAACCCCTTTACAAAGCTAGCCATTAACTATTGAAAGAACGACCGAGGAACGCCTGTAGTTACTTGACTAGACTTTCACAGGACGCCCGCACATTCTGTTAAACCATGAACGGTTCGATTTGATAAAAGCTATTAGTTAGAGCATTTTGTGATTAAATAAGGGTGAAGCACTAGATTAGCCCCGCCCACTTTACATCAAAAGTTGAAGTATAATTAGATATTAGAATAGCACCCAATTATTCATATTTTTTCAAAATACTTTCATAACGTATTTTAGTTCCCTAGTATAAAAAATGAATGTTTCGTTGATCCCTCAATCGCCTTCGGGGAACGTAACTGTAAAACGACCTGAACATGTTGTCCCGAACAGAACATAAGGGTTGAATCGATCGTTTACAGAGCCGTATTGTTATAACAGCTTGATTAAGTGGGTAGGTCAGGGGTGCCAATAATTCAGGAGGGGTGTGATAGCTGCAGGACGTCCCAGCACACTGAACGTCATGTCGGACTGTGTGTGTGCTCCTGCATGCTCCGTGGCACGGCCTTATCGTCTCGTCCGCACCGGAGGGCCGCCCGAGCACCGCAGGCCAGGCTGATAACGCTTCCTCCTGCTTCTGGCTGTTCCTAAACTAGGTGTCAATTCACAACAGGCTCCGAACGTACCAGGTCAGCACTCCGTCGGCTCCGCCCACTTCTCAGCCTCAGCTGGCCATCATGCCTAGCCCGGCTTCCAGCTCCACCCCCAGCTCTGCCCTTAACATCTCCCCTGACACGCTCATCCAGTGCCAGCAGATCGT